AAGTTTGACTCCACCAAAGCACTTCCTTAGGTAAGGAATATATATTTCAGTAAAATACCTGTAAAACCTTTCCTTGGGGACTTTCTTCAAAAGATAACAGCTGCTGGTAAAGGGGTTCCAGCGTCTTTCTTGCCACTTTTGTTTTCTTTTTGGCGATGCAGACTCCATTATCTAATAGATACACCTTTACATAGGGTGCTTGGGAGAGAAAACAGGAGACGTAAGTGATGAGCTAGGGTCACAGCACACCCAACTTACGGGCAAAGTGACACCTGCAACAGCTTAGTCTTAGGCTGAAAGAGCTGGCAGTCACATCACTGGCCTTTTCCACGTTATGTCACAGTCATTAAACAATAGGTCACTAGCAGCCATTCAGGGAGTTTTACACAATGTTAACCTAGCCTCTCGGTGGATTACTACTTTGGCATCAGCTGGTTATATAGATTTGAACTCTGCATTGAAAAAAGGTGAAATGCTTCCAGTCCCCTAACCATATTCAAGAAGAATGTCTTACTCAGTTTTTCATTTGTCAATACTTTAATTAAACATGCTTAAAAGTTTTTACTCACCCATTGCCACAAATCATTTATCACTCAAAAGGGTTTATTTACTGATGGTGCTGTGGGTACAAGACAGGGGTGGGGTTTGATGATATGTTTCAATTAGCTGGGAAGAGGCAACTAATTATGAATACCGTGGGGATGAAATTTTTCTGAGAAGACTTTTCAAAAAAGCATTGTCATGCATGAACAAATTGTGGTATTCTCTCTGGTACAGCCAGCAACGAAGCTCCACGACCTTTATAAATACAGTGGTCTTAATCACCACTGCAAGGTTGTAGGACAGGTAATATACATTGCAATTTCTGCAAGGATAGGAAAGTTATGAAATGCAGAATTACAGTTCAGTCAGTGGAGGTGCTGAGGTGAGACCCAAGTTTCAGAACTGTTCTGTACATCAGATCTGCTGTTCTACACGTCTCTGCACAATGCATCTGGAATCTGGCATTTCCCATGGCTGTAAGCACCTTAGATTATGACATTTCAGTACCAAATCTGTGACATCACAATAAAAATTTATAATGGTACCTCTCTATACACTATAGGAAGTAAAAATCATAATCAGAATGTCCTGTGTACATAGACTTGTGCTACTTTGGGGCCTGTATCTGTTTTAATTCCAGAATTCTAAGAATTTGGAAACTCCAGATAAACTAAAGAATAACACAAAACACCAGCCAACAAGAATTTCTTACGTACACGTTCTACAAAATGAATTATCTAAGTGTGGTAGCTTTGATTGTGCAGAGGGTTCTACCACATACATGCTTTCTAACAACTTACCCCACCAGACCACCCTCACTGAGTCTCACGCAGGATAAACACACAAACTGCCACAGATAACCGTGCATCTAATGTTAGTTATCTAAAAGCAAAGTTTTCAGCATCTAATAAAAAACAGTCTCTTAATTGGTAAGTTCAGATTATGAACAATAAGAGAAGAATCTCTTCTGTTCTTACCTGGCAGTGTCTTGGAACCTGGTTTTACAACAAGGCCACGGGCCCGAATGATTTCCACCTCCAACTGTCCCTTTTTGTCCATCATTCCTACCTGAATGTCGCCTAACGGCGTGTGAGGAAGAAACAAACAGACCTTAACATATAAACGCAGTGAGAAAAACGCTTGTGCCAAAGACTTTGGTTTTAACAACGTTTCATTATTTCCGTATTTTCCTAAATTTAAATATATTTAAAAATTCATCAATGATAGCTTACTTTAAAAAGCATATAAATAAAAATGGAAAAAAATTAGTCAAAGATTTTTTTATTGTTAAAATCGAAGATACTCATTCCTAATACTGTTAAAAATCCTATGAAATTCGAGAATGTGATTTCCAATAATCTAAAAGAAAAACAGTGAACCACGTGATGGAAATCCTTACCCATTGCAGGTGTGGCCAGAGTCTGGCGCCCCACTAGCTGGGCTGGGCCAAGGCCATCCAGAAAGTCGCTGAATTGGCTATCAGAGGCCAAGCGGACACCAGGAAAAATCAGACTAAAAGCAAAATAATACACAGGATTAAACCCTCAACTCCTGTTTTCATCTAGGCCTCTTCCTGTGGCAGCAGCAGTGGGTACCACTATTTTGCCACTTGTATTAGCTGGATCCCAGTCGCGCTGCACCTCCTCGGCTCTCCCCCCCTTGTCCTCCAGCAGCCCACGTACGTCACCAGAAGCCCTCGTGCTGCATCGCAGGCTCCCGTGTACGTCCTCTCTTCTGAAGGGCATGAGTTGTGATTTCTACCAACGTCAGTACACACTGAGCACTTATTCCACAACAGGCATCACCCCCCTGAACCCTCTTAGCTGCACTTTGAGAGAGTCTATTTAACCCATTTTATTACTGAAGGAAGTCTTCAGATCATTCCCATCAACACACATAAACTGTTATTTCTTCCACCTTAAAAAAATCCCTTTCCTAACCCCACTTCCTTCTCCAGCTATCACCCCCATTTCTCTCCTGAAATCCCTTGAAAGAGCTGTCTCTGTGCTATCTTCAGTTTCTTTCCCCTCATCCTCCCTTGAAATTCTGATCAGTCTTTCCCTGCTCTCTTCCTTGGTTTTTCTCCACCCTACCAAAATTCCTCTGATCAAGGTTACCCAATAGCCACAGTGGTAAACCCGACTGTTAATACTCAGTACTCATCTGACTGAACATATTAGCCCCACATGACACAACTGAGACAATCTCTTCCTTGACACACGTTCTCCACTCTGCTTCCTGCACCCTCTAGCTGCCTGGTTTTCCTCCTTGGCTCTTCTTCCTCGGTCTCCTTTGCTAATTCTGCCACTAAATATAGGAGTGTCATCCTGTGACCTGTTCTCTGTATGTTCCAAGTCCCTTGGCATCTTAGATACTCTCAAGGTTTCCATCACCACCTATCCTGACATTGCCTAGACTGACATGTCCAGCTTGGGCCTCTCCCTTGGGCCACAGATGATATTCTAACTGCTTCGACTACTTACTTAACCTGTTAGAATGTCTAAGAGGTAACTGAAACTTAATGTGTTCCAAACTGACTCCCAATCCTCAGACAAAAAACCGATCTCTGTTCCTCTCTGAGGATTCTCGTCTTAAATGGCAGCTACATTCTTTCAATTGCTCAGCCTTGGAGCTGTCTTTCTTGTGGCTTGAACTGTGCCCCCGCCCCTTCATATGTTAAACCTGGAATCCCCAGGACAACTGTTCTTGGAGACAGAACCTTTAAAGAGGTTTAACGATTAAATGAGGTCATTAGGGTTAGGCCCTAAGCTAACAGGACTGGTGTCCTTATGAGAAGAAACCGCAGGGGTGTACCTGCAGAGAGGAGAGACCATGTGAGGACAGGTGACCATCTGCAAGCCAAGGAGAGAGGCCTCAGGAGAACCAGACTTGCTGACACCCTGATCTGGGACTTCTTGTCTCCAGAACTATGAGAAGATAAATTTCTGTTGTTTAAGCCACCCTTTTGGGTATTTTGTTATGGCTGCCTTAGCAAACGAATACACTCTCTTTCTCTCATATTCATATCAAATGTATCATTGAACCTTACTGGCTTTACTGTCAAAATACATCCTGAATCCGACCTCATTAATGCTACCACTCAGGTCCAAGCCATCATTTTCTCTTTCTGTCTTGCGGTAGCAGCCCTGAACGATACCCTGTTGCCGCCTTTTCTCTCCACTCCCACAGCAGAGTGACCCGCTCAAACTGAAGCCAGACCTCTGCTCACAATCCCCACTGGTTTCTCATCCCTCTGAGTAAAAGCAAAGTCCTCGCAATGACGTGTGAAGTCAATACAAGCCGCCCTTCCCACTGCTTCAGCCGGGCAAGCTCCGGCCTCAGCACTGCTTCAGCCTGAAAGGCTCTTCCTTCAGATATCCACGCGCTCACTGACTTCCCTGTTCCCCTACATCAAACCCCACCCTCTCCCTCTGTCATCTCTCCCCCTTCCTTTTTCTCCTTAGCACTTACACCACCTAACCTACCACATGCCGCTTATTTTTCTTGCAGATACACTTTAACAACGTCCCTTGTTTATCGTCCGTCCTATCTGTTAGACTGAGTTTGGTGACGGTAGGGTTGTTGGTTTTTTCCCCTTTGTTCACTGACAGATCTCCAGCACTAGAACCATGCCTGGGATATTCTAAACACTTGTTAAACTCAATCAGTTGATTAAAACGAATCTTTAAAAAATGACATAACTTGCCCAAGTTTCTATAGCACCAAAAAACCAATTAGAATTTGAGTCCATATGATTCTGAAGCCCGTGGTCTAACCACCAACTGATTTTTGCTCCCTCGTATGACTTACATCCGCACCGCAGAACAAAGTGCCTGGAACACGAGAAGGTATGAGAATATCTGTTGAATGAATTTATAAGTAGTCATCCCATTGCTCCAATAAGATGATAAATATTGGCGTGCAGGGGTCACAGTGCCTGACACAGCGCTCTGCAGTGACAAGTGCTCAGTGCACATTTTAAAACTTGACTCTCCATCTAAGACTTCCTTGATTAATGTCAAATCTACTTCCCCCAACCTTAATTCCCAAATACACATTTAATGCTTCCATAAGTATCACATATAACCTTATTTGTAAACACATGGAAACCACACACATCTCTTGTATTTATATAATTGTGCTAGACAAACGTTCCCTGGGGCATATCGTCAGCGCTCTGCCAGCAGCTCCTATGGCCTCCCATCTGTGAACTGACTACATGTATGTGGCCTCAACATCCGATGCTTCCATGGGGATGACAGACGGGGGTCAGTAAACCCCGCTCTCCTCTATTAGTGTCCTCTCCATGTCCACCTACGGGCTCTGCAGCTGCTAATTACGGCTAACTTGTTGGCGACAGGGCTGCGCCGTCTTTACAGATGCTTTAAAAATCTCTCAGATGCAGTGACTTCAAGGGGAACTACATGATAACCACCGACAGGGAAGGCTCACCAACTTTCTTTGCAGTGTTTCTTTCCGGCTGTTAACATTTATCTGAGCTGCTTGTTACTTAACAGAACTACGTATGTGTCAGTATTCTCTATTTTTTGGGAATAGCTCTTAGAGCAAAAGATCTCTTTAATCCGCCTAGTTCACGTGGTGTGGGCACCAGTGCTTATTATTTGTGCCTTTATGTATTATTTCAAGGTAGGGCAAACTTCTATTTGCACATATTGTGACAGCCACATTTCAGCATCTTGCCACTAAAGTGAAACACTTTATCCCCAAACCTATCTTCCTGGATATAAAAAGCCAGAGAGGTCACATTTCTCAGCAGCAGGCGAGCAAGTTTTCTCTACAGCGAGTTAGTGAGTTCAAACGGCGCGCGAGAGCACGTGAGTTAGCTTTTGTGGCAGCACGGAGAGTGTGGCAGCGCAGCAGGGCCCTGGCAAGGTGTGGCAGAGACCACATCGCAGCCAGCTTACTCACTTTCCTTCTGAGCTGTAGCTGTTCATGCTGCCATCTGTCGATTCTCGGCTTGCCTGCCGGGTCATCCAGTTCCTCATCTCCACAGCCAAGCCTGTCTCTGTACTTCTCTGGACAGTGCTCCGTAGCTTCTTACCTCCGGCTTCTGCCCAGACAGAAAACAAAAGCATGACAGTCCTGTCATCACCATCTGATAACAAAAAAATGTCAGCCAGTGCTCTGAGGTCCTCAGCTGAAAAGAACTGCATAAATACAGAGTGCTCTTATTAGGGAGACAGAGAGAAACAGGTATTTCAAACAATGTCTTGTTGAGTGGGATGGGAATTTTCCAAAAAGTCTTTTAAGAAACACAAAATACCATTGTTTTATTTCCATTTAAAACAGTGTTCAAAATGGTAACAAAAGGAACAAAAAGGTTCAAACTGTGTAAAATAAAATAAGCTGTGTTTTCATTGTAATAGTTAAATGGAAGGTTAATTTATGGCCTTTTCTTCTTCCTGTCTTTTTTCAACATAGTAAAAAGCCGTCACATTATTTCCAAAGAACAGGTGGTGAGTAATTCTCAATTCTAGCTTTAACTTCCACACGAAAACCTGTTTTTGTCTGGTGATCAGTATTAGAAAGCAAAGAAAGCTACACTAAGGAGCTAGCCTTGCTTGGTAACAGTTTCACATCTGTTGGTGACTTTCACAGAGATGCTCCTAGGGAATGGAAAACCCAGCACTGCCATGTGAAAAAAAGAGCTTTTAAATTTTGGTCATGGCTAGTCATGGACTTAAGGATCTTCAACAGTCTGGCTGTGAGGTTTACTTACAGAAGCCAATTAGAAGACCAAACAGGAAACTGAGTCAAGGGCCACACGTGTGGCAGGGGTACGAAGTGCTGTTCGCAGAGGACGGGGACTAGGGAGCTTCACAGAGGGAGTGGGATTTGAGCTGGGCTTGTAAATGGGTAGATTGAGATCCAAGAAACTGAGCCCAAATTATCAAAGGCCTTACAAGTTGGAATGTGGAGTTGAGAGATGACAAAGCTGGAGCAACAGGGGGATGGTCAAAATCATTTGCACTAATTTCCTTCCTATTGGCCCTAAATATTTATCCACATTGACCATGCATATCATTAGTATTTTTGGATATGGTAAGCTCTTTTAGTGTCTGGTGTTAATCATTTCATCTTAGATCAATAAATATTTGGTGATATTGCCAGTGACCTGTTGAAATCCTTTTCACCAAGCCCCTTATTATAATATTGACTCACCATTTTGAAACACTGCTTTAAATTTCATCTATTCTCCACTTCCAACTTTAATACACACCAAAATGCTTTAAAAAGTATATATAAAATATAAATTATGATTGATCTACAACTTAGCTCCACAAAGACTGATATTTTAGATAACTGATAGGAAGACATGTTGTACTGATATGAAGTATAAGACAAGATAAAACATCTCCCATTGATGAGAAAGCTCTTCTTTACCGAGAAATGTTAGATAATACATATAGAAAATAAAATTTAAAAACTACCAATTTGCAACCTCCAGTGGAATAAATAATTCCAGTAAGGCACATCAATGGATGCAAACACCATTAAATAAAAGGATATTCATATGAGCCAAAAAAATCACTCCACAAATTAGTTCTACTTATGACAGGAAAACGTGTACTTTAATACTGGGAGTCCTGGCCATCACTGTCTTCATCAAGTGAGCAAACTTAGCACCATTAATAGTGGCAATCACAGTAGCACCTATCAAGTTGTTCTGGACAAAAATATACAACCTGTTTCTAATCAGGTCTTTGGAACCAACTTCTAAGTTTTCAAAAATAGAGAAGACAGAATAACAAGATAAATGATACACACAAAATCAGGTAAACCCAGAACGTGGAGTTTTGTCCAAGAGAATTGACCTCGTCTCTTAAAGTTAGTACCATGAAAACAAACAAGGTGGGGGAACTGTTGCAGATTTAAAAACATCACAGGGATGTAACCATTAAATGCTATGAGTGTACTTTGGTTTCTTTTTAAGGAAAAAACAAACCAACAAAAAGAAATCCTAAAAGCAAAACATTAAAAGCAATTTTAGGACAAGTAGGGAAAGTGTGTCTATGAATTGGATATTAGATGGGATAAGAAAATTGTTAATTTTTTCCTAGGTAGATAATGGCATGTATTTTAAAAGATTTCCTTATCATTAGGAGGTACATGCTGAAGTATTCAGATCTAAAATGCTATACTGTCTGCAACTTACTTTCAAATGGTCTAGCAAAAACTACACATACACATAAAACAAGGGATGAAATGTTAACAATAACAAAAAGGATGGGGATGAAGAGTAGACCTTGATAGCCATAAATTTAATATTTATGACTTTGACAGTGATCCCCAAATGGCCACAACATAAAGCAGTAAAATTCTGTCCAGGTGTGAACTGGATTCACGAAAGGTGCTGGGCTGGTGTAGGGGAGCCAGGCCGACGGCTGGGTCGTGGCCTCTCCACACAGCTTTACTGTTCCCCTCCTGTGAAGAATGCCTGTGTGAAAAATCACCATCAAGTGAGACATACAACCTCAGTGACATCTGAAAATGCAGAATGAGCTTATGTACAGGAAACGACTTTCAAACTAAATGAAATTCCTAAAGGTCTCAGGACTCAGACTTTACAATATCAAACATCTACTGTTTTTCATTTAATGTCTGACTGCAATAGCAAAAGTGACTTGAAAATCTGCTGTTACAGGATGATGAGAACTAGCCACCACTTGTTAAAGAATAACAATACAGTGAGCATGTAATCCTTTTGTTTACAGATTGTTTGTGTCCTCTTTAGAACTCGGACAATCCCCATTTCACAGATACTGTATCCAAGGAACCCAGCAGGTACACAACTCCCTGAGGCCATGTAGACAGTGACAGCATCAGAGTTTCTACACGGTTCCCTGCCTCCGAATTCTCTGCTAGTCACTGACTTGTTGTCGGAATATAACCGAAGGGTAGCTTGTGCGGCCGTTCCGTGGAGATGATACCAAGCTAACTCTGTGAGTGCATGGGGAAGACCCTGCTAGAAGTGGCTGGTGGGGTGGAGAGAGCAGAGCACAGTGAAGAGGTCAGGCCTGGGGCTGACAGGGTAGGAAACTAACAAAATGGCTTCCCTGATGCTAAAGCTGTTTGCTGATTCATTCTCACTTAAAATTCCTGCAAATTGTTTTCCTCTTTCCTCTGACAAGCCCTCCCCCCAATCTCTGCTTTACTTGTTCAACTACTTTTGTGCTCAACAGCCCCTAACCTTTCCATTACACTCTCCACTCCCTATACCTTCTTTACCCAGAATAGCTTATCCTCTGACCCAGAGGCTGTATTCTAGGAAGGTGGTCATGGGCTGATAGCCTCAGCAGAATGAACAGACCCTCTGGAGTTTCTCTATGATGGCAGGTGGATTCATCAAGATTCAGAAGAGTACAGCACCCTGGGAAACACTCTAGTTGTTGTTGCCTTTCTGTTCCGTCTGGTTTTCCTATAAAACCTCAGGATACCAACCCCATGATGGATTCACAGTCTCTGAGGCATTAGCCTGTTGTGACTCCTCTTTGCTTGGCAAAGCAATAAAACTGTTCTTTTCCAATTCTCCCATACCTCTGCCTCTGAGTCTCACTTTGGCTATGAGGGTACAGAGGCTGGTTTTTCGGGAACAGTGTCAAACTGTTTCTCTTTGAATTCCTGCTCCATTATATATACTAGATGTGAAGCAAGTTACGTTCTCTGTGATCTAGTTTTATTCAAACTGTGAAATGGCAACACCATATAGAATTTTTGTGAGGGTTAAGGAAAGCAATATATTTAAACTGCATAGGATAGGGCCTGCTGTATAGAAAATCTCCAGTTAATGTTACTGCTAACTAGTGTTTCTACCAGACAGGAAATCAGAAAGCATGTCTTCTAGGCCAGGTTCTCCCCCTGGCTAGCTGGCTCTGTAGCCTTCTCTGAATCACATCCCTTCCCTGAGTCTCTGGTTTCTCATTTATGAAGAAAACACAGGAGGGGGAGGGTGACAGATGATCTCTGATCTCTTTTAGTGCTGAAGTCTAAGAGTTTGTGTCATTAATGTATGACAAAAGCCATGAGTAACAGCATACATTGAGGAGATAAGGCTACTCATTGGCTTTTGATGGTATCAAGGAATTCTAAGCATATGCTGAACATTTATAATAGCTTCTTTAAAGATGATTTTTAAATGTACTTTTATCTGATACATCTATAAACTTATTTTTAAAGTAAATGTATTTTTCAGTATCACAAATCCTTTGTATCACATTCACAATAAAAGTAATTTAGCCTAAATATGACTCATTGTACTGATTCACATTTAATGTTTCAAAAGCTTTGTCAAGTTATTCAACCTAAAAACTGAATCTATATACAGAGAATGTCTGCATAAAGAAAGTGTAGTGGGCAGAATCCTAAGATGGCCGCCATGATTATGATATTTCACATGGCAAAAGGGATGCTGCACATGTAATTAAGGTTGCTAGTCAGTTCACCCCAAGATAGGGAGATTATCTCAGTGGGCTTAACATAGCCACATGAACCCATTAAAAGCAGATTGCTTTTTCTGGTTGGTTCCAGAAGAGTCAGTCAAGGAGATCTAAAAAGTAAGAAGGATTCAGTGTACCTCTGTTGGCTTGAAGATGGGGGGACCATGTGGGAAGAACATGAGAGCAGCCTTCAGCAATGCTTAGCTGACAGGCAGCAAGAAGATGGGGACCTCAGACCAAGAACTGCAAGGAACTGGATTCTGCCAACAACCTGAATGATCCTGGAGGCAGACTTTCCCCCAGAGCCTCCAGATAAGAGCTCAGCCCAGCCAACACCTTGGTTTCAGCCATGTGATACCCTAAGCAAAAACACAGCCAAGCCATGCCAGATGTGTGACCTACAGAACTGTGAACTAATAAGTGGGTATTGTTTTAAGCTGCTAAATTTGTGATAACTGTTGAGCAGCAATAGGTAATTCTTTAGAAATTCTTTTTTAAATGGGAGGTCTATAAAAATAACCTCTTGTGACCACAGAAGTAGACCAACTGAAGTTATCTATAAGAACTCAACAACCATGGTTAAGAAAAAGTAACTACAGAGCTAAGGCCCAGA